ATTTATAAGTTTAAACATCATGTGCAGTTAAAGAGAAAACGCATCTACGGATTAACTCAAAACACATCCACAAACGAATATATGTTAGTATTTGATGAATTTAGTTTTAAAAGAAATTCTGAGTATGGAAAATGCGCAAATTGCAAACGACACAACACTTCTAAAGCTTGGTGTCAATCATGCGATCCTCAGACGACAACACAAGGATGGACAAGTGGAAATCAGGATGTCGATGATTGCATTAAAGAATTTCAACTTAAAGCCACATCTTATGATGACGTAATCGAATGGATAATGTTCAAAATATTGGTAAAGGGGGATTTGGTTCTGTGTTTTCAGCAACGTGGTTAGATGGTAAAAGAATATTTTTAGGTACTAGTTGTAAATATATACGATCACGTACACCATCCTGTGTAGTTGCACTTAAAACTTTACCTGGTTCACAAAAGAATTTTCTAGAAGAAGTAAGTCAAAATGGTCTAATATAGATAAATTATGCATAAATTATTAACATTACAAATTTTATTTAAGTTTAAAAGTTACACGGAATTTAGATTAATGGGCAGTAATCTTGCAGTGTATGGACTAACTCAAGACACAACTAATAATGAATATATGATGGTATTTCAATATGCGAATAGGGGAAGTCTTCATAGTTTTCTATCTTCAACTTTTAGAGATCTTAATTGGAAAAGTAAATTAAAGCAGCTTGTCGATATATCAAAAAATTTAATAAAAGTACATGGAGCAGAATATGTTCATGGAGATTTTCATAGCGGTAATATACTGCAAAACCAATATATTAGTGGTGATCTAATATCTTATATTACAGATCTGGGATTATCTAGAAAGAAGGATGAATCTGATTTAGAAGATGGTATTTATGGCGTTTTACCTTATCTTGCGCCAGAAGTATTAAATAAAAAACCTTATACAATAGCTGCTGACATTTATAGTTTTGGTATTATTATGGCTGAGATGTCTACGGGAAGACCCCCTCATTATGATGTTGAGTATGACGAAGTGCTAGCTATTCAAATATGTAATGGACTACGTCCTGAATTTGCTAAAGATACTCCTGAATGCTATACTCAATTAGCAAAAAAATGTATGGATGCTAATCCTTCTAATAGACCAACTGCATCTGTTATCCATGATGAATTATCGAAATGGTATCGGATATTAAATAATAGTAGTGCGAAAGATAAAAATGAATTAGCGATATTAAAAGCATTCCAATCTGCAAATGCAATTATTCCAACATTGTCAACCAAATTGCCAGCTTGCCCTAAAGATAAACTTACAAGTAAACTGCTTAACTTTAAAAATCTTTCTACGCCAATTAATTCTTCATTTATTTCTTCTGCAAAATCGTTAAAGACTTGTGGTAAATAATTTACACTTATTATAATATATTCAACTTTAGTTGTTAAAAATTTTACTTTTACTTTCTAGATTCAACTGCTCTCGATTTTTCAATTTCTGATGACGATGATAATGATATTTTACGTGTGTATTTAATAATTTTAATTTTAATTTATTAATCTATATGACAAAAATATTAATTTATTTAGAACTATTCAATTATGCTCAATCCACTTTTCCATATATGTGCGCGTAGTGTAATGCTTGTGTGCATAAATAAACCTGACCATATCGACTTCATACCGTGCAAGGTTAGATTGTGCGACCACTTTGCTGTTTATGGCATACTTACGTAGAAGATCTACAACGAAAATTTCCTCGGAATTCCAGGAAAGGAAATTTTCGTCAGGCCTTTTTTATATTAGGTAGATAATGATAAATATTGAAGTAGCTATTGCTATTACCCACTACATGAAGAGAAGAAAAAAAAAAAAAAAAAACCAAAGCTTATCCAAAACAAATCCAAAACACAATTTAAATATAGATAAAAAGTTTCTAATTTTATATTATTGTTAACTCTTTACTAGACTTATAAGCATATTTGTATTTTTCTTTTTCTGATTTTTTACAGAACAGATGAATTGATGATCACTGATCGTCAAAGACAATAATGAAAGATCGCAGCGAAGAATCTAACAATTATTTCTAAATTTTTTATGTTATTATCAATGTAATTATGAAACATGATTAAAACTTGATTATACCAGGAACGGAGTGATATACCAGGAACATAGTACAAAGTACGGAGTGTATGGTTAAATACAAAGTTTTGTGTTCGCCCACAAAATCTTGATTCTGATTGGATGCAATAATTGAATGATTTTATTACATAATTATCACATTCTTGCTAATTGAAAATCAAAATCAAGTTTGGATCTTGATTAGGGATGAGTTCGGTCGGGTCATGACTGGTCAGGATAGATTAGCTACAAAAATTCAGCAGATCGGCCCGAATAATAGGTTGGATTTCGTCGGATTTAAGCCAGCATTAAGAAACAACAACTAACTGTATTACACCCAAATTATCATCTGGGCAGCTTTATTTAGTGAGTGGGCTATGGTTTTATTAGTAAAATTTCGAGTGATCTTGGGCAAAATTAACGCTGGTGCAACCCGATCTATAATTCGAACCGATCTACTGAATTTTTGTTTCTCTGCTAATCTATCCGGTCAGTCATGCCTATGGCCTTAAATGACCTATAGACCTGTTATAGGTTATTTGGTTATAACAAAGATTGATATGACTTATGATTTTTTTTAATATAGTAAGAATTATAGTAAAAAATTTTTTTATTAGTATTTAATATAACCGGATGACTATGACCAAAAGTTATATAATTATATGACCAAGGTCATATAGA